TTATTTATTTATTTATTTATTTATTTATTTATTTATTTATTTATTTATTTATTTATTTATTTACCATTTCAATATATCAATATCATCCGTGAGACCTTTTAAGCCAGTCTGATTAATGCCCATAAAACACTCAAAATCAGGCATTTTTTGACCTATCAAGTTACTCAGTGTGAGATTTTTTCCCCCCAGAAGATTGCTATGATTGAATGTTTCTAGTGTTTTACTCAATTTCATGCTAAAAAATGGACAAAAAGGGCATGAAATCTTCTCTGCCTTCAGTCTGGCTGCAGTGATAAATCCCTCTACAGTCTACAAATTTCCTTTTTTCTTCAACACAAAGAAACGTTGTTACGGAGAATTTCATTTGATGCGTGAACTTTCAGCACAGAAGTGAAAGTTTGACAAACTTTTCTTCTTTTTTTCCTCTTGCAGGTTACTCCAGTGTCACCCCTCTGGCAGGAACGATTCAGATTTGGTGTTTTTTAAATATAAAATGACTCGCTGGTGTGATTGTGACTGCTCGTGTCTCTTCATGTGATAGATTTGAGCCCAGAAAATCTCCTTCTCATTGCAGCATGGTGCACCTCAACAAAAGGCAGCAGGTGAGCTCATCACAGTGAGTCTGGGCACCAAAGGCGGTGGAGAAATAAACCGTTGTATTGTTGGCATTTTTTCTGCCACAGTGTGTCTTAGCTGCAGGTTAGCAGGACGCTACTCTTAACCACCTCTGAGCCGGACTCTGGAGTCCTCTTTGTGCAATTATATTGTGGCTTATTGGTCTTTGTGGTTGACCTAGATACGCTCGGAGAATTGATTAATTCTCAAAGGAAAGGATGGGCTTGAGTTAAAGGGCACTGAGAGGAGAGATCTCTCTTAGTAGTGGTCCAGGAAAAAGAAAAAGAAAGTCAATGTAGAGGTTATTTTTTACAGACATATCTTAATACGAATGGGTTAATAAGTAAGTCTATTTTTCGTTACACATACTAATTTTCATTTCTGTATTTCACTATATAACTGCGTTCATTTTTCATCAAAGCTGAGAACACACATACTCCCACAAAGGGTCACATTCATTTTAAAACAGATGACCTCTATACAAGGAAAATGTACTGATCAAATTTTAATTCTAATTCTTCACCTGGAAACGGGGAGAAATAAAAAGAATAGACTGAATGTGTTGTTAAAGGGTTCTCTATGCTTTGTGATACTCATAAAACAGTGGCAGTGACTAAGCATGGCCCTGGCCAGGGGTCAAGGGAGGGGTCAAGGCGATGCATTTTTGAATCCACTCGCTGTTTTTGTTAAAAATTTAAACACGTCTAATTGAAAATATTTTGCATTCAGATTATTTGATGCTCCTTTTTGTCTCTGCCTCAGACGAATAGTTGCTTTTAGCATTTATACGTCACTCTCGTCACTCCCATTTATGCTTCGTTGGAAGTGAAAAACCACCGTAAATGCAGAAGTCTGGATTTACAGACGAGCTAGTGTGTTTCAGAGAATCAGAACATCTTCTCTGCTGATGTCTGAAAGTCAAACAGGCTTTTCTGCTCCATCCTCTTCATGTTCTACAACTTACATCTCAACCAAATGCACATATTTTTTTCACATATCTTTACAACATCGGCATTGATCCGATCATCTTTCTGTTTAAGCATCTTGCAGCTACTTTAGGGGAAGTACAGAGTAATCGCTTTGTCTTTTTAGAATCCACTGTTCCTCTGTGCTTTTTCCTCTGGTTTGAAGATTAAACAACAAAAATGACATTGTTCAGTGAAAAGTCGCTCTTGTAATTTTTTTGCTTTTGACAGGTGGTTTTGACAGG